CTTCATGCAGTACTAACACTACTTTATACAGTACTCAAACTACTTTATACAGTACTAACACTACTTCATGCAGTACTAACACTACTTCATGCAGTACTAACACTACTTCATACAGTACTAACACTACTTTATACAGTACTCAAACTACTTCATACAGTACTAACACTACTTCATGCATTACTAACACTACTTCATACAGTACTAACACTACTTTATACAGTACTCAAACTACTTTATACAGTACTAACCCTACAACTGTAGTACTGTAGTATATAGTTGTAGTACTGTAGTGTAGCACTGTAGTACACAGTTGTAGTACTGTAGTACAGAGTTGTAGTACTGTAGTGTAGTACTGTAGTACTGTGTTGTAGTACTGTAGTGTAGTACTGTAGTACAGAGATGTAGTACTGTAGTGTAGTACTATAGTACACAGATGTAGTACTGTAGTATACAATATAAAATTAAAATAATAAATATTTTCTGACACTAACGAGCTCCTGAAGCTGATCAGTTAATTATGATTGATTACCAATATTTCAGGATGATCAGAGGGAGGTCGCAGCTGCAGGTCAGAGGTCAGAGGTCATCTTACCTGTCCACCTGTGTGCTGTGACATCATACAGCTGACAGGAAGTGGTCATCATGGTGGGCGTGGTGGTGTGCGGCTCCGTGAGCTCCATCAAAGCTCTGTGGGAGACGAGGATCAGGAGGATCCAGGATGAGGAGGAGGAGCAGAGGAGGAGGACGGCGAGGGGCGGAGCCACAGGCAGGTCAGACTCCGCCTCCTCCACTGAGAGATTCTATTGGTCAAAACTACAGGAAGTGTGTTTAGCACAAAGACTGGAAACAGCTTGCTTAGCTTAGCATAAAGTCTGTACTGTGTGATGTGGTTCCTGGTTCAGACTGAGTTTGGGGGTCTGGGAGGACCGGGCGGTTTTGGCCCGGCTCAAACAGAAGCTGCAGACTGAAGACGGACGCCTCGTCCTCCGGATCGAACAGGAGGACTGGAAGGTAATGCCCCCCACAGGAAGTGGACTGTAGAGGTGGACTGACCGGGTCTGGATCTCTGATATCTGTTCTCTGATCCCTGTCCCTCCACCAGTCTTTGCCGGGCTGTCTGGTCCAGCTCGGTCAGGTCCAGGAGTGGCAGATCCACCGGACCGGGCTACAGAAGATCCCTCACTTCATCTCCAGCTTCCAGAACCTTCTAGTCCTTGATCTGTCCCGCAACGGTGTCTCTGAGATCCCCCAACAGATTGGTCAGTACCCCTTCATTTGTACCATAATACGGATTCAAGGTAGACCTTGTTTCATGTCCTGGTTCTGGTTTTAGGGAAGCTGACTAGGCTCAGAGAGCTCCTGCTGAGCTACAACCGGGTCCAGTTTGTTCCTGAGGAACTGAGCGGCTGTGAGAGTCTGGAGAGACTGGAGCTGGCCATGAACCGGGACCTCAACGAGCTCCCAGACCAGGTACACACCTCTATCTCAGAAACCCGATTCCAAGCAGATCCTGGACCTAAAAACAACACACCTTCTAAACCAGGTCTGAACTAAGAGCTCTTTAAACTGTAGTTAACAGAACCACCAGAAAGCTATCGTTAGCTAGTGTTGCACACTGTTGACACTATGTGTTTCTATCCCAACATAGAAACACATAGAAATCAGTCCACAGTCTGGTTACTGTGGACCGCAATAGTTCTGGTCTGAGGTCTGATGTGTCCCCTGTAGTTGAGGAACCTGAAGAAGCTGCAGCACCTGGATCTGTCCATGAACGACTTCACCTGTGTGCCTGAATGTGTGGTCGGACTGCCGGCGCTCGAGTGGCTCGACATGGGAGGAAACCGACTGCAGCACCTACCTGAAGACATTCACAGGTGGGTTGAGAGTCATTGTGTAAGCCCCGCCCCCTTCAGCCATCAGCCAATGAGCATTGAGACGTGTTTGTCCTCAGGATGGAGAAGCTGCACACTCTGTGGCTGCAGAGGAACCAACTGGAGAGACTTCCAGACAACATCAGCCGGATGGTCAGTCTGGACACTCTGGTCCTCAGCAGCAACAGACTGAGAGATATCCCCCCACTGATGGAGGACATGTCCAACCTCAGGTCAGTCTGTCCAACCTCAGG